TGAATTTTTTAAAAACTTAAATACAGCAACAAAAACCTCACATTTTTTCATATATCAAATTTCAGTGTTATTCAGTTTTAAAATCAGAATTTTAAGTCTATAGCTATTATTAGCTAATAACAGAAAGTAGACAATTGAGAAAGATGCTGATACAGGCCTTGAACTTACCTTCTTACTCAGAGTCAATGACTAATGACCTTTAATTTAGTACAAAAAGAAATTTAAAAAGCTTAGTATTCCACAGTGGTCTTTATTAACCTTATGTCTCCATTAACTTGATTCTAGATTTTTCCCCCTGCTGGTGGTACTGGGGATTGAACCCAGGGCCTTGTGCATGTTAAGCAAGCACTGTACCAGATAAGCCATATCCCCATCCTACAACTTGATTCTATTGGAGTTGAATTTAACTCATTTTACTTCATTCTGAAATTTTCAGTTGTGGATGAGATCATTTGCTCAATTTGATGAGAAGGAAAGATATAAATGATTGTTGTTTGCTAACTATCCATTACTACCTCAGCATTCCACATTTCCCCTGGTCTCTTGGGTGATTTATTCATTCATCTTGGTTTTCCTAAGGAAGGTTCCTATAAATTGGGTTCAAGTTTTGCTCTACCAATCTTTAGTATGAAAGTTATTTGTTTTTAACTCAGTAGATTCCCCAGAAGCTCTAACAGCACAGTAGATAATTTCACATGATAGCATGCATCTCAGAAAATGACCTGAACAAAGAAAAATGTCATGGGTTGATATTGCTGACCCAAAGAAGACTGTATGGACCCACTCTTGAGCCTCCTCAGGTCTTTTCAAGGCTGTTTTCCCAGAGATGGTTTTCCAGTGGACATTTCTTTATGGTGGAGAGCAGATTAAACTCACTCCTGTCATTAAATCCCTCTAAAAATCAATCTTTGCAAGTCTTGGACATAGAGGTCTGGATTTTTCTTATGAGAGGCAAGAAATAAACTGCAGGCACACACTGCCAAAGCACTGATTTCAAATGCTTCCTTCAGAGTTATGTCATGTAAGGGCTTCTGACAAGTACCTGCCTGGACCATGGACCATCAACAACTTAACACTGAATAATTCTTCCCAGAAAATCTCGTTTTCCAACAGAGAATGAGTCTTCCTGAAGTTGGACCCAAAGAATGAAGACCCATTTCCTAGCACCAAGCAGTTAAAAGAGCTGGAATATCTTGGTAATTTGTGAGATAGTTCTTTTGCGTAGTCTTTCATGAAACAGTTTAGGATTGTACTTGTGAGGAAGAACGCTGGTGTTGATGGAGAATGGTTTTTCTGAATCGAGGTCTACTACCTCTTGGAGGATAGTGCAGATCTTTTAAAAAATTGTAACCATTCCTCTTTAGAACCATCTTGTCTGAATGGTGCAGTTACAGCTTCTCCAGTAGATGGCGCCTCTAACTCTTTTTATCACCCTAGCTGCTTTAAATTTATTTTTCCATTACTAATTCAAATATTTTCCTGGACTTTTAAATAATCTGGGATGTTGTTGATTCTTTTTACTCTGTTAGAACAAAGGAAAATTAACACAGTTTTAATAGATCAACAGAAGTGCAAAAAACTGGTATGTTCGTGGCAAGTTTTACTATAATTTTGTATGAAAGAAACCCAAGTGGACAGCTATGGAAGGAAGAACTGAGGGAAAGAAAAGCGAGATTCCAATTTACATTTTTTTCCTCCCCCCCACCTCCAGGCTCTGTTGGCACATTGTTGTTTCAGAACTTCTGCAGTG